GCTAACTTGGCTTTCTGTTTCAGTAATACTGAGATGTTTGCGTTTTCCCTTTCAGGACACACTGCTTGATGACTGTAGCATTTCTGATGCCTATAATGATCTTCACTGCATTGTTCCTGTTTATTCTTCATAATTACCTCAGGGAGTATCTCTCCAAGCAGCCTTCCCTGGTTCATCCAGGTAGGGCTCAGTGAGACCACTCCCAGTCCTTCTCAATCCACATCTTTCCCAGTCATTTACCCCATTGTATTGACAAAACATACCCATCTCCTCACCCAACCAGATGGGACTGTCTTGAATTCAAAGCTTTTCTATTTTGTACCCATAACACTAAACTTGAGTCAATTCCCTGGTGGTCTATTGGTTAGGAAAAGCCTAGCAGTTTGAATTCATCAGCTGTTGCAGCAGAGAAAGATTGGGAATCTGCCCCTCTAAAAGATTTAGCCTTGAAAACACTTTGAGGCTGTTCCACTTTATCCTGTAGGGTCACAAGTTGACACCAACTTGAAGGCAATGTCGAATACTTGAACAACTATAAGAAACATTTATAGATGAGATGGAGAAAAATATGAGAAGATGTTCAAGTGAAAATGAGTTAGTAGTTCTTTGTGCTTGCTACACTTAGAGATCTTTTAAAAATATAGACAACAAACAGCCATCTGAGTCCATTTAAATTAGAAACTCGGGGTGTACGGCTTGACCACTTAGATTTTTAAAAAGTGTTCAAGCTATGATGTTGTGCAGTTGCTCCTTAGAACTATGGAATTAACTAAATGTTGAAGAGAAATTTAGTCAGTGCTATGCCAAAGAAAGGTGTTTATTTTTTTTTATCTGAAATTTTATGCAATTATTTGAGATTTTATTTTTAGAATATTTGCATTAGTGAGCTTGTTTATTTTTCTAACTACTCATGTCACAACCAACCCAACTCACTACTAAAGTGTTTTTGCTTTGTACACAGGTAACGTTTTATATTTGATTAGAACCTGACTGTGTCACCTTATAATATTATTGTTCTTGAAAATGTACTCATCTCAAATACTCACAAATTTGTTAAAATACTGGAAGAAAATAGTAGTAAGAGGAGACAAGGAGTAGCATTTTAGGTGCCACAAACATTCATGCTATAGTATTTGGAAAAGAATTATCAAATATAAACACTTCTTGGTTCTCTTTGAGTGCTTTTATTCAAATCCATTTCTACCTTTTCGTCTATGGTGATCATGGAGATGGCAAAACAGGCTAGTTTTCCGTTATCACCTGAGTCTACTGGCATAGAAAGGCAGGTAGCCAGATCTTGCTTTTCTATGTCTATATCATTAACAGGAATTGGTAGAAGTTATAAGAGTCCTGGTAGCACAGTGGGTTAAGCATGCTGTGGCTAACTGAAAAGTTGGTAGTTCACAAGTACCTGCTGCTGCATGGGAGAAAATCTTTTGATAAAGAGTCATAATCTTAGAAACCCTGTGAGCAGTTCTATTCTAGCAAATTGTGGGTTTTCTCAGATGCCATCAAGTTGCACACAACTCACTGCAACCCTGTGAATGACAGACCTGAACCCTGTCCTGTGCTGTGCCATCCTCATCATCCCTGACACACGTGAGCCCATTGCCATAGTCACTGCATTGTGCTGAGGGTCTTCCTCTCCTTCACCGACCCTCCTCTTTTCCAAGCATAATGCCCCTTTCCAGGGAATAAAGCCTCCTAACATGTACTAAGTGTACCAAGACGAAGCCTATAGGTTTGTCATAAACTGGAATCAATGCAATGCAACAAGTTGGGTTTGTTTTGCTGCATCTTCTTTGTTGTCACCGGGTTATTTTGTGGGTTTAGGGTTTAGTTTTTGTTTTGCTTTGTTTACTTTCTGCGTAAATGTTGCATAGAATAAGAGCAACTGGTTTGGGGTATTAATTTTGTGGAAGGACTAAGCAACTCTGTAGTATCTGGGCAGTGTAAATGGTGAATACACTCAAGTGTTAAGTGAAAGGTTCGGGGTTTGAGTCAACCCAGAGGTAGCTGAGACGAAAATCTCAATATTTGCCTTCTGAAAAATCCCCTGCTGAAAGCCCTACAGAGCAGTTTTACTCTGACACGCGTGTCAAATTTACAGCAGCTGTAGAGATTTTGTTTGTTTGCTTTTGTTTGTTTAAGGTAGCTCTAGTTTATGATTTTATCATCAACAATACATCTTAAGGAAATGAATACATTTTTTTTAAGTCACCATGAAGGCAGTGAACAAAAGAAAACCCGCTTATTTTTAAAATGAGGCATTAACTTTTAGGAGAAACACCCTAGAGTTTTACCATCCAAAAATATTCAAACTCCCAATCTGCGTTTGATTAAAAAAGTTTAATGAGTTGTAAAATAAATATACTTCCATTAAATATTAAATAAGTTATTTACAACCTGAAAAAATACTTTTTTCCCTCTTCATGCATCTTTATGTACAGAAATAAACTTAGCATTAAAAGTGAAAAGTGTAAAACCACCAAAGCAAAAAGATGTCATTTGCTTTTGATCCACTGAAAAGAGGAACCAGCTCCATTCATGGCGGTGACTTGGTCGTAACCCAGTATGACCTCCTGCTAGGAAAGAAAAGAAGTGTAAGCAGCACACTTAACTCTAACCTAGCTTTATGAAAAGTTCGAAGAATAATCAAGACTCAGAAACCCTCCATATTTTTTCCCCTATGAGGTCTTAATGCTAAGAGCTTATTTCATAGACAAATGGTCACTGTGACATGGCTTTCTCTTTTATGTATCTTCTGGTAGCTTTGTCTACAGACTTAGAAGTCTGTCTATGCTCAAACTTGTACCATCAAAGTTGGCGTAATAAAAAAGTCAACAACAATCGTGAGAGATAGTTTTCCTAATTAAATCTATGCAGTGGACATAATTAAAATCAAAGATTAATGTCTCCAAGTATTTACAATGTACAGTTAATTTAGCATAATTAGTACCAAAGGCATAATAACAGTAGCTACTATTTAAGAGGAAGCTGTTGTGTGCCAACACAGCATATTCCTTTTCCCGAAGTCATTCTAGAGAAGTCTGGTAGCTTAGTGGCATGGAATTGTGCTGCCAAAGCAAAGGTATACAATTAGACGCCACCAGCCATTCTGCGGGAAAAAGACAGGCAATTTCATCCCATGCATGTTACTGTATCCGGAAACCTACTGGAGGGTCAGTCATTGGTGGTACTCAGCAACAAGGTCATTCTGGGAACCAACTGTGAAAAGTCTCAATTATACTATGCATACAGAAGTTTACCCTTTACTGTTCTAGACATTTTGCTTCAGTACGTTAAGCCAATAAATGAATACATTTTGGAACCAAAAAATGCTGAGGAAAACACTGTCACTGATAATTATCCATTTAAAAATTTCTGAGGTAATTGTATAATCAGCTCAGAATGGAAGATTTGCCTTTTTCAATACTGAAGGTTTTGATAAACATTCCTTAAATGTTAGTGGAAGATCACATACACCAGAAACAGCTACAGTGTTCACTAACAATAACAACCCTAATTCAGCAGATTTGCCAGTTCCCTGTACTGTGGTGGTTTGCATGTTTCTGTAATGCCAGAATTATTTACCACTGAGATTTCAAACCCTAGAAGCATCACCCATAGTGGGCTAGTTTCAGTGAAGCTTCCAGACTAAGAGAAGTAAGAAGGACCTGGCAATTTACTAAACTGGCAATGCTAATATTATTGGGAGCAGCAGAACAATAATACACTGCTGGAAGATGAACCCCCTCAAGTTGGAAAGCACTGATAATGGTTCCAACAATGGGCTCAAACATAACAAGGACTGTGGATGGTAGAGGATGGAGCAGTGTTTCATTATGTTGTAAATAAACACCCACCAACACTAGGCTTTGACACTGACATACCCATATTTAACATGCATCTTGGTACTTCTTACACTTGAGAACTTAAAAAAAACCATGACTTAAGGATATTGCATCTTCTTTCCTGACTGCCTAACATTTCTTCTTCTGGACTTTAAGTGTGTCCTTAATCTCTTGGCCTTCCTATTCCTCTGGGAGTTTTCATCATTTGCTGTTGATTTTTTTATTCAGTGACATATCCTTCTCCATATCTTATAGCCAACTACCTGCATCTTTTATTCTCAGAATTTATAAAATAAAAAAAAATCCCTACAGTCTTACTACACCATCAAATTTGGGTCCTTGTTTCTCTCTATTTTGTCTCTTTAAGAGGTTGACAACGTGTTTCTACTTCCTCACATTTTTAGTGTTGTCCTCCAACTCTGTTCATATCTCCTGTTTTATTTCCCCTAACACTTACGTTATCAGGCCATTTACACCAATTCTTAAAATTATTTATTTTCTCTAAAAGTATTAACTTTCAACTTCATCATAACTGCAACTTCCAACACTCCTTTAAGACTTACTTCAAATGCCACTCAGTTTACACATCTTTTCTACTTTCTCACTCTGACAATGTTTAAACTCACTGCTATCTGGCTGGAACTGACTCATAGCTGATTCTACAGCAGTTCTTCAGAGGCTGTAAATCACAAGAGAGTGGACTGACTGCCTTTCTCCCATGGAGCAGCTGGTGGATTCAAACCACTTGTCTTTGGGTTGGCAAGACACTTCCTTACCAACTAGGACATCAGCATTGCCTAAGAGATTCTATCCTTTTCAGAAACTCTTCACAATTAACTGGTTTTATTCTCATGATATTTACCTTATCTTCCTGAGTATTCTAGCTTCTTATAGCTTATATTTCCCTCTACTAGAGACTTAGTTTTTTGACTACAGGTTTAAATTTGTTTTAAACACACAGTCTACTCTCAGTATCTATCTCATGCTCAAAGAGTAACTCTTTAATAAACTAGTGCTCATACTTTATCCACAATTAAGAACATCTACTTTCATCATTGTTCTTGGTAACAGGTATTATATTGTTTAAAATTATAGGATATGACATAAAGATCTTGTTAAAAGTCTAACCTGTAATGTTATCTTCAGTTATACAACAGTATGCGCATTATTCTCTTGCCGAAGTTTCTTTCTTTCTTCTGCTTCACCTTCATATTCACTGAAGTATCGTTTCCGAAGCCTTTCAAGAAAATGCATTATCTTTTTAAAAAATATTACCATATTTAAAAGAGACGTTTATGTTAACTTTATTATTTCCAAAGAACAAAGATTCAAATGCTTTTGTCTCAAGATCGATGTGTACTTTCAAAAGGCATAGTATATATAAAATGCTTTTATTAATTTTTATAGAAATGGGTAGCTAGCTATATTATCATTAGAGGAGTTAGTGCTTGCACAACTTTGCTAAGTGTTATCATTTAAATTACGTGTGTGTGTGTGTATTTATGCTGTGATGTTTTTCATCTCAACTACAGAAAAACAGCAATTGTGGTTTTGGCTTACTGTTAATTAATATATTTCAAATATAAGGAGAATAGAATTTTAAGACTGTAATCATGACAAAGTGTTTAAAAAAACAACGTTAAAATTGTCAGTGAGAATAGTTACAGCTTTAAATAATAATCACTGCAAAACAATTCCCTTTCTGTTTTTCTTTTACCTTAAATAATCCTTATGTAGAAATAATAGTGTTTTGTCTAGAGAAGCTTTTTTAAATGTATTTGTTTACATGTCTTCAGCCACTAAAAGATCAGAATAAGCTTGATAAAATACAAAACAAATAGATATTAAATCACTCCTCATTTACTCCTTACTGCTAAGTTGGAACCATAGCGACCCTCTAGTCGGTTTTCGGAGGCTGGAAATCACACTAGAGGGCCTGCCTATCTTCCTCCCATGAGATGTTAGTGGGATTAACTACCAAACTGAACCCCCAAGGTGCTTTCTATATACTAAACAGCAAACTTTAGGTCTATGATAAGACTGACATTTTCATATGGTATTTAATTATTGTCAGATCTGCACATAAAGTAAGCAGTAAATAATGGCAAAAGATAATCCCAGTTCCTGAAAGGCAAAAGTGGTAGATCATGTCCAGAGTCCAGTTGTTGAAGTAATTTATGAAGACCTAAAATTAGAATAATGAGCCCATTGCCTTTCCCAAGCTCTGGAAGCCCGTGTGTCATCACTGAGCTATTCACACCCTCCCCCAGCTTCCCTTATTCAGGACTTCTGTCTGACAAACAATGTCATTTTGACCTACCTGTCAAGTGTCTACCACCTAGAAGAGTCTGGTTCTAATATTCATTGCTCATTAAGTGAAGAATGTGATCTGTTATCTAAGCAAAGGGAACACACTGCTTGAACAGAACACTAATGGAATTGTTCCTGCTTCCTACACCAGACTATGTGGAGGAAGTATCTTTTTTAAAAAGAAGTGAGCTCCATATTATTTTATTTAACAATAGTACTATAATATAAGCTCTAAGCAAATCAGGAGCATGCAGAAATTTCTATTTCAAGGGTTTACATTATGATATGAACCAGAATCCTAATTGGTCCTGGCTGTTAGTTTCAAGCTTTTTGTGATTTCTCAGTATACAAGCAGTTATATCTGTTAGGAACCAGATCTCAACAAGCTTTTATCACTTGGAGGCCTTCTTAAGCTTAAAAGGCTTTCTGAGATATAGACGAAGTCATGAGTAGAAATGCAAAATGAAGCAAAACATTCACTTGAAATTTTTTAAAATATTAAAAATCTAGATCTTTTAAAAAACACTTTACAAATTAAGTTCTAGCAGTGACTAACATATTATTATAAATTTTGACCATATTTAATGATATTTGGCAATGAAATGTAAATATATAAACCAAAGACTATGTGTTACCAGAGAGTTCTAGTGGGCTAGTGGTAAGGAGTTGGGCTGGCAACTCAAAAGTAATTAATTCAAATCCACAAACTACTCTGTGGGAGATAGATGCGCAATTTCCTCCCATGCAGTTAACTGCCTCTATGGGTCAATTCTAGCTTGATGGAACATAACAACAATGTCTTATCAGTAGAATAATTAATTCATAGAATAATTAATCTAATTCATGATAGCAGAGTATAATAAACATACTACAAAAAATAAACCCGGCATTATCTTATTGTGGACATTTCCATACTTACTGTATTGTAATAACAAGGACAACAGCTGCAAGGCTTACGGCTGAGACAAAGGCAACTATGGCTGCTAAAGCGATTTTTGATAAATCACTATCAACTATTTTTTGAGTCTTCATAGACTTTTCCCCACATCTTTCACCAAAGTAATCCTGATGACATCTGTAAACAATACACATTTAAAGATTACAATCACTAAAAATATTCCATTTACTTGAGGTCTATTTTAGAAGCCATAGTCACTTAATGCTCTAACCAAAGATCTGTTAGAGTAGTCTCAAACTAGGATTTGTTTGATCTGCTTTTCTAGGAATACACAACTTCTCATTTTTAATTTTTTTAACAACAACAATAACGAGAGAGCTCTGTTGGCCTAGTGGATAGAAAGTTATGTTACCAAGCCAAAGGTGGGTGATTTTAATCTAAGGCCTTCAGGCTTGATTTTTATTGGTTTTGGTCAAACACTCTTCTAAGTGGTATAGCACTCGTCTGTCCATTTGCTGTACAGAGGTAACTACTCGTGTTTGCTGTGGTGCTAAACACTATGACAGTGAAATGTCAAATGCAATAATGATTACCCATGGTGGACAGTGTTTGGTGGAGTTCCCTGATTAAAACAAGCTTGGAAGAAGGAGTGGCATCCACTTCCAAAATAGCATGCCTCCCAAAATTCTATGAATATGGAGAAAAAAATGAAAGTTATACAAGTGTTCAGGTCTTTCATTCATAGGGTCACTATGAGTTGTCTATGACTTGACAGCACTTAACAGCAACAACAATGTCCACCTGATGAGTTAGTTCAATGACTTGTTAAGTGCTATATACATTTCATTACCATTTAATATACAGTAGCTTTGAGGATAGAAAGGGATAGATTTTAGAATAGCATGACAGATTACGTGAAAAGTTAATAAAAGGGCTTTATGTGCATAGATATTAGTCTATTTTCTTTGAAAGAACAAAAAAAGCCCTCCCCACCCCCGCCCCCCCAAATGTCATACAAAGTTTACCAGCATCAGCTAACAATAAACTACAGGTCAAATCTGACCATTTGCCAATTTTCACTCCTTTTTTATTTCAAGAGCCAATGAGCTAAGAATATTTGAGTTTTTAAATTTGGTTTGGTTTTGTAACATTTTAAATGGCTACATCTAGTTAGTTACAAAAGTAAGTGAATAATCGTCACCATGAAGCCTAGACATATTTACTACCTGGTACTGTTGTTGTTATATGCCATCTACCTGGTCCTATAAGAGAAAACTGCACACTCTTAACTTATACAGTAGAAAAATGATTTTATGACACTAGGAATTACAGACAAATTGCTAGAAATTTACATTTTTATAGGATTTGGGGAAACTTACACACATGTCACTGCTTCCAGGTTCTCTATAAATTTACATTCTCCATGAATGCAAAAATTTTGGAACTCTAAATCACAAGGTGTTTTCTTCTTTCTGTTTTTTTTGTTTTTTCCATTTTTGCCACTCTTTTTCTTCCTTTTAGGTTTGTTTGAAGTCTTTTCACTCTCTGTTTTGTTTCTGGGAGGTTTAACTACCTGTTCAACTAAAAGAAGAGAAAAAGGGTTATGGGCAGCAATTGTTATCTTGAATGAAAGTTAAAGAATACATAAGAGTGAGAACTCATGAGAACAATAATCATGTTTTCTCTCATTTTGCCACAATATGTACAAAATAAATGGTCACAGAAGACATTGGTATTGTGTAGTACTTGAAAGGCTGAATCCTCTTGATATTTCTTTCCTAGAAACAGAATTTTTAAATTGACTTATTATAATTACTATTGTTGATAGCTATTCCTTGGACAGAGACATGATGTTTGGAAGGGTCGGCAAATGAGAAGAAGACCCTCAACCAGGTGGACTGACATGGTGACTCCTGCAAAGGGCTCTAGTGTGTCAGGAATTGTGAGGATGGCACAGGATAGGAGTTTCAGATCCATTGTTCAGAGGGCCGCTATGAGTTTCCTCAACTCAACAACACCTAACAACAACATTACTAATAGCAAGAACTATGTGTCTAAGAAAATCTTTGAAATAGTTTCAATATTTCTGGTAATGTAATATGTACTAATTCTTGGTAAAGAGTATTTATGTTTGCTCAAATCACCATTTTATGCATTATTATGATCCACATGATGTAGACGAGGAACTAAATTCCATGAAAAGGAGTAACTTGCCTTCGGCTTAAGAAGCTAGTGAAAAGCAATACCAAAACCTGTTAATTTTGTGATACCAAAACCTGTTAATTTTGCCACTATATTACCCTTTCTCTAACAAAAGATCAGTGCTACTGATTGAAATGGGACTTGATGCATATATGCTGATTTTAGTACATCAATCTTCTCTTCACTATCATAGTTGAAAATAAATAGGTAATAATTAAGGGTGACTGCTGCAATGGGCTCTTGTATATAAGGAAGTGTGAGGACTGCACAGGACTGGTTTCAGATTTTTTTGTTGTTCATAGACTGACTAGCTATGATTTGCAATGAGTCGGAAGGCACCTAACAACAATAACAATTAAGGGTGGTACAATTGGTTAACACATTGGGCTGTTAATTGAGTGGTCTGCGTTTCAAGTCTATCCGGGGACACCCCAGTGAACAAAACCCTGGTGGATTTACTTCTGAAATTGCTACCTTTGAAAACCTTACGGAGTGTCACTCAAATTTGATGCACAGATGTTTCCTTGAGTTAGAGCTGCTGCGATGGCTGGTACTGGTTAGTAGAAAGGTGTCTAAATTGTACTTCAGAGTTAGTTAACTTTTCTGCATAAGAATGCAAAAATGTGTGTACTCGGTGCTTTAGAAATTCATCTTAACCTGTAAAATGCACAGAAACATTTGTCTAGTCTTAAACTACACAAGGCACAGTTTAGTGACAGGCTTATGGAAGCAAATATTTAACAGGTCAGTGGAGAGAGAAATTACTGGCTGTCATAGCAGTAATCCAGTATTCACTAAATAGATAGCCTGATGAAAATGAAGAAAAATCAGAATATAATGAATATGATAAAGGAAATGACAAATATTATGACAATCTGACACATGATTACAATAGCATTAACAAAAGTAACATCAGGAGCACTATTTACTGTGTGGTTATATGATACTGAAACTTTCCTCTAAAAAGAAAAGAACTATACAAATGAGAATAAATTCTCTAACAGAAGCATTTTGAAGAAATATAATTACACTTTATCAGATAGGTTAGAGATTACAATGATAAATAGCTATAAGACTATATAGTGTCGCAGTGGACAGTTAACTGCATGGACATAAACTTAACCTTTTTTTTTTTTTAAAGGAGTGCAGTCAGTATTTTTACTCTGTTTCTCAAGGTTTTGCAGTATTGAACAATAGTCACTTTTACTAGATAGTATCTATTTGGGTCTGTTTAACAACTTGACCCATTTTTAAAAGAATACTGTCTAGATTATCTTGCTGCTCAAATCTCATCCCTCTAGAATTAAGAATTAATAATCAAACTCTTCCAACCTCACATAAAAGCACAAATTCACATGAAGGGAGGAGTGAGGCAGAGAGTTCCTCAATGCCTTTCCCACTTGACACTCAGCTCAGGCATGGCCCCTGTGGTACCATCTGCTCCGCCTTCACTGGGGCTTGAATTCAAACATGGAGGAAGGAGTCATGGGGGCCAGGGTCATCAAAGAAGACCCGACTAGGAGAGCAAAACTTATCATATCCTGCCTCCATAGTAGGTGGTCCTAAGATATTTAGAACAGATTTATCTATGACCTTTTGTGCTTTCAAACTCCAAAGTAATATGAGGGTGAGCATTACATAACTCTTACTTTAATACTTTCTTTTCTAATCAAATCTTCTTTAAAAGATCTGTTAGCAGCAAATGAGAGTGGAAATAGGGATCATCATCTATGTAACTGACAAATGGTATTTAAGATTATCATTTTAGCATATTTGAGGTTAAATTTTCATTTTAGCAAAGATGATATACATTTTTCCAAATAATTTTATCATAACCATCATCATTTTCTTAATATCTAGTTCCCAATGCCTGAAATCCAATTTGCCCTCCCCTTTTACTTCTTTCTGCTTCCCTATTTGCATTAAAATGCCACAAGTTGGTGGGAAGAGGAGTAGACACCAGGTTTGGTGGGAGAGGAGTAGATACCAGGTAAATGGGAATGGCCTCTGCTGATGTCAGTCACAAGAGGGGTCTTCTAGCACAGAAAGAAAGAGTGTGGTGTCTGGAACCCAACAGATTGCAGTTCTAATTGCGGATCATCTGCTTACTAGCTATGGACTTGGCAAAGCATAATCACTTTTTGTTTGATTTTTAAGCTTCAATGTTCTTGTTTGCCAAATGAAGGGAATTTCTATGTCATAAAGTTGGTGCAAAGATTAGACTTAATAGACCATAAAACATTTTGTAGCTCTCCAGATCACAAGAATGTGTCCACTTACTGTCCTACTATTTCAGTCCAAAGCTTACTCAATAGGGATACAATAGATGTACACACAAGAACGCTACTAGAAAGCCCAGGGAGTGGTTTTTCTTCTGAAGTAGTTTTCTCAGAGCAACCCACATCACATAGGCTGCATTCTCACTTCTTACTTTACTCACCTCTGATTGAATCATCTACTATATAGCCGGATATATGTAGTTCATTATCATACTCTTCTGAATAGTCATAGTCAGTCCCTGAGGTCAGTTCATCACTTGAAGGCACTTCCGTCACTGGGGAAATCTCAATTTCTGAGGACGTTTCACTTCTTGAAGTAACTGTCGCTTCAAATGCATCAGCACTGTGGTCCTCAGAAAACGATTCCCCTTTGCCAGAGTAGGTCTCCTTGAGATCTGATCCAGCAGCATAATGCCCTGAAGGGGAAGAGAATGAGGAAGGGGGGGGGGGAAGTAATGCAAAGTGCCTTTCTTGTCTGTCAACTGTGTTCAGGAGAAATGCTGCTCTTCTGATATCAATGTACTTTATTGCACATGTCTGTGACAGAGTCACTTATGAAAGTAAATTCACATTCTGTCAACAAGCAAACTAACATGGTCCAATTACAGAGTGTTTTACCACATTTTTTACAGGCAATCTACATAATTTCAGACTTTAAAAAAACTTGCAAATAACAATTTCATCTAATACAGTTATTCGAGCTAACCATTCCTGTCTCCTATCCTAAATGCGTGCAAGTGTCTTTGCTAGAACGGTCTTTTGTCCCATTTCTTTAAAAAAAATGAGTTCTAGAATTAAATATGACTATTCACATATCTTCATATTTTTAAAAGCTTATGTATAGGAAATGCAAAATTAATAAACAGTAGCTGACAAAATTTCTATTATTGTTTCATTATGTGGCAGGGTAGAGAAGAAATTGGGCCATACCTAAGCTTTGGGACCCCAAAGTCTTGAATGCTTTAGCTCTCAATAAAACGGTGACTGTGTGGTGTTTCTCTGCGGGGTGTGAAACCTTCTATGGAAGAGACTCTGACAATCACTGACGGAGGAGATGGAGAATGTGGGTAGGAGGAAAACGCTCTGGGTCCTGTACCTCACTCTTCCACTCCCCTTTGAGACCTGTGGGAACCACCTCACCTCTCTGAACCACCTTTTCTTTCTCTGTAAAACGAAGGTGTTGGATGACAGGATTTCCCTCAACTGTTCTAAATGGAATTCTTTTAAGTACCCTCCACCTGGTCTGGGAAGTCTAAGACACCTCCTTTCCTTCTTGGAGAGGAGTAGATACCGCCTCCATCAGGATAGAGTAAGGGTGCCAACGGGTGCTTTTTAGAGAAATGGGAGCAAAAGTCACGAAGTCACAGCTTTTGCCCGCCCTAGAGAAGCGCCAGACAGTTTTGAGCCAGGGTGTTCTCACCTGAGCCAAGGATCAACAGAGACAGCACCAAGGGCGCAGGCGGCAGCAGCTGGGTTCTCATTGGTCCCGCGCAGCGCCCGCGTCTAAGTCTCTGGGGCAACTCGGAAGGCAACTCCGAGAAGGAGGGCGAGGAAGGGAAGGGCAGGGGCAAGGGAGAGGAGATGCGCGGCGGACAAGGTGTTCAAAGGCTGGCGGAGTCAGACAGCGGACGCGCGCCTTCAGAGAGCCTCGGGAATCTCCGGGTTCGGACCAGGGTGCGGGCACCCAGGCGTGCGAACATTCCACAGGCGCAGCCCGCACCTGCAGCTTTATAGCCGAGCCTGGGCGGGGTGGGAGGCTGCGCCTGACGTCACGGCCCCCGTGGGTGGGGCCCGGCGGCCGCCTGGAGGAGTTCACCACATCAAAACTGCACGCCGCTGCCCAGAGCCCCATTTCCGTTTCTCCTGCACGCAGAGCCACTGTGTGGAGGTGAAAGTTCAACTTCTAGCTACGAGATTACAAAATATTCCAGGACGGGCGTGGAGTTGGGGAGCCAAGGCGGGATCAGACCTTCAGATGTTCCAGACTTTCAAACTCCTGGAAACCCGCTTTGGTCAATCATCTTTTTATAGAAGACAAGAATTAATAAGAAAAAGTTCAAAGGAGGCGTGGAGGTCATAAAAACTGGGTCAAAACCAACTCTACTCACTGTCCTCTAGTCAAAACCAGCTGTGCCTATCTGGGGGGTTTTCAGTGTCTGTAAATCACTCTAGTACACATCTCTTTTTTCCAGAGCTGCTGGTGGACTCAAACTGCTAGCCTTTGGGTTAGCAATGCAACTCCTTACCCACCAGGACACCAGAGTTGCCTTTAATAAGGCTAGGTGAAATGTGTTAGGTAATTAGAGGGAAATCCTCTCAGAAACTGCTTTCTCTATGATGAACCAGTTTCTTTCCCAAGAGAAAGAAAGACCTTCTGTATTGTCACAGTAACCACAGTAGAGACTGCAGCAATGGGCTTCAACACAGCAAAAGGTTGTAAGGACTTGTAGCATTTTCTTTCTTCTGTTGTTTTTGAGGACCTTGTTAGTTCCCACAGACTCATAGTAACTAAGGACAACCGTAGTGGGTTAGTGACCACAGAAATGTTCAAATCACTTTTACCCTTTTCTTTGTGGTACAGGATTCTCATCAAAGAAAAGTTAGAGATCCACTGGTAACTTAGTCTTGCTAAACCATGCACTAAAAATATTTTACCTACATTATCTTGATTACTTAGGGTCATTGTCCTCATTTACCAAAGAAATAAGTTTTTTAAAAGTCTAGGGGAAAAAGCTTTATGCAGAACCAGGTAAGTTTTAACTCAAGTCCATCTGACCTTAAAACCAATACTCAAATAAAATAATTTAAACTAAATTCACATTTGAAGAGAAAGAGCAAAGCTTAAGTCAAATGAGTGACTCCTTAATGGAAACGTATTAGCTTTTGGATGATGGACAAGATGGCCTGTGTGCCTTTCAAATCTTAAAGTAAGACCAGCTCTTAGAGCCTATTTAAATGAACAGCCAGGCATTTAACTCTGACAAGTAGATAAACCGAAGTTGAAGGAGTGAGTTGTTCAATTTGATTGACTTTCATGTAATGAAAATGCTGGAACTAAATTTTCCTTGACTTAAGGGAGAGACTCATCAACAATCTGAGTTGTGCAGATAAAACAGTCTTGCTCGCAGAAAGTGAAGAAGGCTTGAAGTATTTACCTCAGAAGAGCAAAGAATATAGCCTTCAATAAAGTTTACATCTTTGTATCAAGAAAACAAAACTCTGCACCATTGAACCAGTATATATCAGAATAGGTGGAGAAAACAATTTTTTTTTTGGTATTACTTGGATCCATAATCACTGTCCATGGTAACAGAAGTAAAAAAAAAAAAAAAAATAAGAAATGCATTGGGAAAATCTGCTCTCAAAGACCTTTCTAACATACCAAAGAGCAATGATGTGAGTTTAAAGACTAAGGTACACTTGATCCAAACTGTGGTATGTTCAAGTGTTTCCTATACACCTGAAAGTTGGACATTGAATAAGGAAAACCTAAAAATAACTGATTCCTTTGAACTGTGATGTTGGCGAGGAGTATTGACTATCCCATGAACTGCCAAAAAGAAGAAAAATGTTTGTTTTAGAGAAAGGGCTCTCCTTGGAACCAAGGTTTTCCGTCAATTCCAACAACTAAGAAATAGTGAGAAGAGTTGGGACCTCAGAAGCCTTTTAGGACCAAATAGTAGGCTCTTGTGTCCAGGAGAAAACGAATATACTTACCAGTAATGTTAATGCTCACCCACAGCTCTTCTGGGAGGATCTAAATTGTTGAAGTGTCCTCCTTTGTTTCCAGCAGGGAGCTGGGGCCTGTCAGTCCTATCAGCAATGAGGACCTGATGTGGGCCACCCTTGGCCAAGTGTCCTTCAGATCCACACTTAAAGCAAGTGAGTGGGAGCTTCCTCTCTACTCCCTTGCCTATCTGTGGCTCTCGTCTCTGACACTGTCTACTGAAGTGGCCCAGCTTTCCACAGTGGAAGCAATTCTGACCTCCTTTATTACCTTTGGGTGGCACTGTATATGAGTAAGACTTCCTTTTCCTGACACAGGCCCTAAACTGGCAGCAATAGCTGCCCCAATAATTTTGGCCATTCTCTTGTCTTTTCTCTTCCCTCTAGATCCCAGTTGTTAAAAGAGGGAAAAATGTAAACAAATGTATAACAAATAATTTTGAACAATATAATCTTTTAAGTTTAAGGCTAGAACTATTAACAATATGATCATTTCCAATCCATGATGTTGAGATGCGATGTATATCCATACCTGGTGTATTAAAACTTCTGACCTTTATTTTAGCAAGACAACATAAAATATACACTACACCATTGAGGTGCATTGCATATAAAGCTTGGTAAGTAGAGGCATATGAATAAAATTTGACTTTGAAACAAATCCATATTTGCAGTAGTAAATGTAATTCATTTCACCTCTAGATTTATTTCCTTCTTTAAAGGTTCAAAAAATCATTAATACTGTTTACTTACCAAGGTACTAGATATTTAAACTAAAATGTTCTAATTAAAAAATTCTAGGAAATCATAGAACTAAAAAGCAGTGTTTTGCATTAACATAAGAAAATATTCTACCTTTCTAACAGTATTATTGATCTGAGCAAATCTTGCTTTTTTGTCAAGATTTTATTCTGTATGAGTCAGAGCCAATTCAATGACATTAAGTAATAGCAAGAGTCTTGGCACAATGGTGAGAGGCTGTGATGAAAAAGAGCTCACTAAAAGATAGGGAAAGTTTTTAAAAGATGGAAAATAGAAATTGGATCAAATATTTTTATTTTTATAAGGATATCTATTAAAAACTTTACATTTATTAAGACAAGAAAGGAAACACACTCAGAAATTCGGGTATCTTTTGCCTAAAGTAACATCTTTAGAAAAAGTCACATAGTTTACACTCGAAATTCTATTTTTTTTACTATATTATTATCTAAAATAAATAATCTGAATGATATTTTGCTGGGAATAAGTAAAGTATATTTGTTTCTGCATTCTGAGATTTTTTAAAAGAAAGAGCACACACATAGGAGGAAAGAGAAAGATTTATATAATATTAAGAAAAGAAAAATGAAGTGATATGTGTATTTATTGATATTAGTGAAATTTAGGGTATTTTAATGTAAAAATGTGATTTTTTAGTTATATATTTACATATCTATTGTGTCTATATGTGTATATGTAGATTAAAATCCACTGGCATAATGTCTACACCACCTCACCATAAGTCTTCCTCAGACTTAGGAAATTGTAAACCATCTTTCTCCCATAGAACACCTGGTGGATTCAAATTGCTGACCTTTTGCCTAGTAACTCAGTATTAAATACACTACATCTTCTGAGATAGTGTCATATGGCCTTCTAGAGAGGTTACATCATTTTACACTCCTACCATCAGTGAATAAGGTTTCCAATTTTTCTACAACCTCACCAGCATCTGTTGTTTGCTGCTGTGTTGAACTTTGCTGTTGTTACTGGGGTGAGGTGATATCTCCTAGTTGTTTTGATTTGCATCTCTCTTAGAGCTGCAGATTTTGAACATTTCTTCATGTGTATGTTTGCCATCTGAATGTCTTCTGTTCATGTCTGGTGCCCATTTTGTGACTGGGTTGTTTACCTTTATCTTGTTTAGGTGCTAGAGTAGTCTATAAAGTCTAGATAAAAAGTTTGAAATAGAAATACCATTTGACCGAGCAATTGCACTGCAGGGAATATATGCTCACGAATCCAGAATTGCCACCCAAATAAATAAATGCACACCCATGTTTATTGCTGAGTTATTCACAGTAGCAAAAAGATAGAAGCAATCCAAGTGTCATCAACAAACAAATGGATAGAATAACAATGGTATAGTCATATAATGGAATAATGTACAGTACTAAAAAACAGGGAACTCATACAATAGTATACAAAATGGGTGATCCTGGAGGACATTATGCTGAATGAAATATCTGTTACAAAAGGACAAATACTGCATAAGACTACTGTTATAAAACAGGACTGACTTGGGGGTTGTGGGGAAACTAAGAAGGCATAAATAATGAATACTGCATTTAAACAGATGAGGGAAAGAACTATCTAAAAGAAATATATGATTAGGCATTATTTGCATGACAACATCACAAAATAAGAGGTGAATAGCAAAGTGAATTGGGGGACAGGGGGGTGAGAGAGAGGAAATTGTGCAACAATCAAAGAATCTTTTTAAAGAGAAAAGCAAACAGGGGCAGGTAGGGAGGAAAATGTGCAACAATGAATGAAAGGATATCCAAGTTTCCTGTAAAATTTTGTTAACATATTAATAAAAAAATACACTACACCATTCAGATGCCTTACTTATGTAGATTGGCAAGTAGAGATCTTATTGGAAGAGATCTATACTTGTTCTCATTCCAAAGAAAGGTGACTGGACAGAGTGCAGAAATTATCAAACAATACCATTAATATCACATGCAAGCAAAATTCTGCTGAAAATTAT